CCCTGGCCTGGCCGCGGCCCCAGTCTACGGGGGGAGGCGCCGGGCCCTGACTAGGAGCTGCCACAGTGACAAAGCCAGGCTACACCTGGCTCGCTGTCTACAGCTGCTGAGGGACGCTAGGTTGGCAGGGAGGCCTAGAGAATGGAGCCGGCACTGTGTCTGAGCCTTTGCTGTAGGGAAGAGAGGTACCCAGCACTGGGGCAGCACTGAGCTGGGGCATATGCAGGCTGTGGGGTAAATTATGCAGGCTGGCACTGAAACCCAGAAGAAATTTCACCACCTCTACCGCCATGTGAACTAGCTCAGGGAAGACTAAGCTCCTGGAGTGGCGTGGGAGGTGCAGGGAGTGGGAAGGGCAGTGCTGACCTGGCTGAAGGTCTCCACAGTGGTCTTGAGGTAGAGCAGCACCTGCTTGGCCGCACGTGGGAGCTGGTGCCCGGCCAGGTGTGCAACAGCGGCCTGCAGCTGTGTCTGTACAGGCTCATCTCGGAGTGCCTGGCCCTCATAGGCCGTCTGCAGCAGGGCAGAGAAGGATGAGGCGGCAGCTGGTGTAGACCGGGGTGAGAGGCTACCTGAGGCCTGGAACAGCTAAAGGAGGCAGCAGAAAGGGAAAAGAAATCAGCACAGATGAAAACAGGGCACAGCTGGTAACGGTGACATGGTGACAGGCACAATGAAGAGACATTTTACCAGAATCACACACCAAGACCACGACCATGGAGCCACTGGATTTTACGTAAATACACTAAGTTCTGACAGGCTCAGACACACGTCCGCAGAGTGCATGAACACTGCTACCACATGAACGTGCAGAGCTGGGAGACACCCACATCTCGTGGACAGCAAGACCTGCGGTCAGGAGGTGCACATGGCAGCTTGTTTTCAACGACAGCACCTGCATTGGGATGCGGGGCACCCTCAATAGGGTCCTGTCACACTGTGATCCCCTTTCTCCAGTCCCTGTCCCCTCAGGACCCTGGACACCTGCACATGCACCTGGCATATTTCCAGGAAGCCCCGGGGATCCAAACCCAGAGTCATCACAGGGCTCCTCTCCTGCCCAACACTGCGTCAGGAATATACCACAGCAGGCGGGTGGGAGACAGGGTTTTAACCACAGGCACTGCTGCATTCCTGATCCCTACTCCACCTTGATGAGCCACTGGAAACCAAGAATCACACAAGTAGAGGAGCCTACTTTTGCACCTTCTGAGGACCTCTCCTCCATAAGCCTCAGAATATCTTGTTGGGAGAAAAGAGAGGTAACAGACGAGATAAAGAAATTTCTCAACACTCAACTGAAATAGCTCATTCCTCCTAATATAATTCCTAAACTTCCTTTTTAATTTACCCCACAAGGCTTACATTACAACTGCAAACACTCAGGGCCAGCAGATGGTGTAGCAGTTATGCCACTGAACTCCCACATGGCCGACCGTGGTTTGAGTCCCATACCCGGGGCTTGAAAATCACATCAAGCGCATGTGCGTGCATACATGCCCAAGATTTCGGGAGGAGAATGGAGAAGGGACTGTGGTGCAGCTATCCCCACGGGGAGGGATTTCTCACTTTCCTTCTCACTGTGTCTCTCTTTCTCTGGCAAGTGCACGCACCTTAGGGCAAAAACCTCTTTAAAAAAAAAAGTTGCAAACACTTAACTTTCCAAGGCTTGTAAAACCCTGAAACTCAGTGTCCTCACTGTAGTCCCCAGATCAGCAGCAGCATCCCCCAGGAATGTGTGAAAAATTTGAAATGTGAGGCCCCAATGGCTGCATTTGAATAAGCCCTCCAGAGGGTCTGATACTTGCTGAAGGGTACAGATGTCCACTGTGATTTGCTCCAGAGGGTAGACAGTCACACTCAGGTCTCACCAGGGACAACACTGATCTCTTACACCTCCACAGTAGCTGCTGTTTTGCTAAAAGGTGTGCCCGTTGTTACAGATGTGGCTTCTGGATCCAGACTGCCTGGGTTGAAGCCTGAGGCCACCCCTGGCTGGCAGTGGAACCACTCTGTGCCTTAGTTTCCCCGTGTGTATAAAGGATGGTTAAGAACCTCGACCTTCTCAGAATTGTCGTGAGGATTAAATGGCTTAAAATGCACACGGTACACTTAGCATGGGGCCCATCATCCCCATAATAAACAGGACACATGCAATCAGTATTGGCTACTGCTACCAGTACCACAAGACAAGGAAGCCCTACACTGTCTGCTTTCTTAAGTGCTCCCAAAATTGAATAAATACACAAAAATGCATACTAAAGAGAACTTCCTGCCCCCCGCATCATTCATAATAATCTGCACTGGAGCCAAGATCCCATTACTAGACTATAGTGCCTGCCACAAGAAAACCTTTTGTTTCTCCTTTGTTTTTCTGGTTTTAGCAGAATGGAGTCTGTTGGAGCCATGAGGGACCAGTTCTAACAGCCGGGCACAGGAAGTCTAGGAGCATGCTAAGGTTTGCACGAGAGAGCTAGAGACAAGCATGCCCAGATGCCCTGGTAAGGAAAAAAGGAAAAGGAGACCTCTTACCCCAAGCTGAAACAATTAGCCAATTATGATCATTACAAGCCAGTAGAAAATTTCATTTTGCTGCATTACTGAGTCCTTTGTGTTTCAGTCACATTTGCTGAGCAACAGTAACAGCACTTAGCCTCCTCCCTTATGTAGGGACATTACAAGGTCAAGTAATGTCACCCTGCAAGCTGTATGGCTATCCAGTCACACAGCTGCAGTACTGCCAGCTACAGCCCCAGGGAGGAGACCCTCAACAGAAGTGCATCACAGCTGCAGCTCACCCCAGCCTCACGGGCTTGCTCTGGGATCCAGAGGGTGTAGTATCTGTTAAACCAGGAGAGCTGATGGCAGCAAGGTGGGCCTGGAGCTTCAAACTTGTCATAAGCCTGGAGCAGAAGACACAGAGCCAAAGGGTCCCTCTGAGTGTGAAGAAGGTCACTCAGCACTGCTGTCAGATAGGCCACGATCCTTTCGCCTACAAAGGAATGACAAGCGTAGAAGAGGTTTGCCAGGACTGCTGTTCTGTGATCCCCCAACGCCACCTCCTCCCACATACATGTGAAGCCAGAAAAATACACGCCAACTCCACAGGAGTAGCCACATAGGAAGGTGGGTGCGGAGTGAACTAGGATCCACTCTAATAAACCTAAGGTGTATGTCAGTGATCAGGCCTTGGGGCACAGGGGTGGAAACCCAGGCAGCTAAGAAGTTAGGCAAAAAGTCACCTGAAACTGGACTTGCTAGATGTTCCCCATTCCATCTCCTCTGCCCCTAACTGCTGCTGCAGGTAAGACAGGACCATGGCTTAGCACTTCTAGGCCAAAACCCTCCCTGACTATCCACTGTCTCCCCACCAACAATAATCCCAGAGGCCTCATGTTGAGATGGCACAGCCAGAATGGGAGTTGCCAGGATCTCTGAGCTACATCGTGGAGGACAGCCCCTAGAGGAGCATCCTGCCCAGGACTAAACTACAAGGTTGAAGAACACTTTTACTGATGAACCCAGTGTCGTAGTGGGCTTATGTGTTACTGCAGCAAAGTCCAAGTGCTCCTGGAGCTAAGTTGCCTGGAAAACCAGCAAATAGTAAGTGAATGGTTCATCCTTAGCATCAAGGATACATAGTGAAAAGAAGACATCAGTCTGACAGCTAGGGCATGGAGCTCTGCACACATTCAGACCCAGCCCTTAAATGACTGATGTCCTAGCAGCCTCGCCAACCTCAAGGTGCCTTTCCTGCACTGTGAGTTCTGTGGCTGGCTCCTAACACCTTGTGGGTCTGAATACTCATGCCCTGGGTTATCAAAAAATGTTTCTAGCTCCCATCACACACAGACCCAGTCAACATGACACAGCCAGAACATTCTGACCCTCACAAATACCTGCTCCACTTTCTGTCCCAAGGAGCAGCTTGTTCCTGGCTTCCAGGGCTGCAGGAACCACTGCACTGAACGGGAACGTGAGCAGGATCATGTCTTCATTTAACGAGAACCCGATTTCCTCATCCAAGCCTTCGCTGCCCTCAACCAGCACGTCCACCATGTCGAGAACATCTGAACAGAAAGGAGGAGGTCTAGCTGAGGCGAGAGCCATCAGAGGCTCCACCACAATACCCCACCCCCAGCAAGGGTGACAATTCACAAAAAGAGACAAAACAAAAGCTAAAGTTCTCTCAGCAGAAATGCTTAGCACAGTTATATCCTAAACAGATGAAGACAGTGTCTTCTAGTCTTCATGACCTTTGTCAGACAAGAAGCAAGATATTCAGCTGAGGTGACAATAAGCTCAAGTTTCCTCAAACTGACCTAGATATTCAGGCATGCAAGTCAAAATCTGAGGAACAAAACAGTGAAAGGGTGCAAACGGAGCCAGCGTGTCTGGGGTCAAATCCTGCCTTTGCGACGCAGTAGCTGTGTGTATGTGAACAAATCACTTAACTACTCTGTGCCTCACCTGCCTTTTCCATGGAGAAAGTGAGGATCATAAAACTACCCTCCTTCCTAGGGTTCTCCAAAAGGCTTATGTGAGTTACGATTTGTAAAGATCTTAGCTTAAGATCTGTAAAGAGCTGCAACAATGAAAACACTCCAGCAAGCCAGACCTACATGTATTTCCCATTATACGAATAAATAAGGCAAATTTCACTTCCGGGGAACGTGAAGAAATGGCATGTCCGCTCTTTGCCTAAGGCACTGATGCCATTCCT